GCCTTCTGGTTAGCAGTCAAGTGTCTTAGGCACTATGATACCAGAACTTTTATGATGGGTAATTTTTTAATCTATAGATTTACTTTATTGAGAATTGACATCTTAACAATATTACATCTTCTGATATGATATATTTATCTATTTATTTGGATATTTAATATTATTTTGCATCTCTTAAAATTTATTCTTCATATTTTTTATTTGTATATTATTGTAAATGATATCTATTTTAAATGACTCTCTTTTGTCATTGCTATTTGTATAGCAATAGAACTGATTTTGTTTATGATGTTTCCTCTGAAGTTTTAAGAAATGCTATTTCTAGAAGTATATTTTGTAGACTTTTTATTATTATTTATAAAACTAATAATATAATCTTCACATTAAGACAGACTTATTTCATTCTTTCAAATCTTTATGTCCTTGTTTCCTGTTGTTTCCTTATTGCACTGGCTAGAACCTACTGAAAATATTGGATAGATGTGATGAGAACAGATTTTATTGTCTTGCAACTAATTTTATGGGAAAAATCATATATTTCATCATAGTATATCATATTAGCTTTATGTTATTTTTGTTTTTAATACTCTTTATCACATTGAGGAAGTCCTTTCTTAGTAGTTTGCTGTTTTTTTTTTGGTTCATAAAGGGTGCTTTATTTTGTCAAAAGATTTTTCTGAATCAAATTACACAGTAATTGTTGATTTGGTGAATTGTAATTATTGGCATTCAAATATTAAAAGTCTTACATACTGAGAATTAACCCCGATTGATCTGGTTTCTAATCCTTTTAATAACTACCTGTTGTTGTTATGTGCCATCAAGTCGGACCTGACTCATAGCGACCCCTCCTTGGGTTTCCGAGGCATTATCACTACGGAAGTAGATTTCCCCATCTTCCTTCCAAGAGTGGCTGGTGGGTTTGAAATTCCAGCCTTCTTGTTAGCAGTCAAGTGCCTTAGGCACTATGCTACCAGAGCTTCCAATGACTGCCTATCACATTTAATATATTATATGTATATATATATATACACATCAAATTATATGGTAATTATATAGTACTTTGTTTAGGATTTTTTCATTTATATTCATGAAGGATGAAGCTCTGAAATTTTCTCTTTCTTTTTTTTTTTATTAATTTTCTTGACTAGTTTTGGTATAAGGGTGTGTTATTCTCATACAATGAGTGGACAGGGGTTCTTCCACACTATTTTTTTAATGTATAATTTTTACTCACAAAAAAATGAGGGGATTCACCTGTGAAGCCATCTGGAACTGTAGTTTTTTGTTTATTTGTTTTTTGCTATTGGAGATTTATCTTAATTAAATGCACAGATCCAAGAAGTTTTGGCTTCTGGCTTCTGGCTTCTGGGTTCCACTCTTTGAGCACTGGTGGCATAGTGGGTAAGACATCTGACTGCTAACCAGAAGGTCAGTGGTTCAAACTCAGCAGCTTCTCTGCAAGCAGAGCACAAGGCAATCTACTTCCATGAAGATGTTCAGTCTTGGAAACCCAATGGTGTTGCTCTGAGTGAGAATTGACTCCATGGTAGTAAGTGGGTGGGTTTCCATCAGGTATAGCCCTTCTCAAAGCTGAATAACTTTATCAGCCTGCTTTCTGCCTGTAATTAATTATGGGTCAAAAGAGCATTATGCAGTATCTTTATCATATTCAGTCTAAATGGATATCATTTCTTTGAAAATGTACAGCTTTCTTTGGTATTAAAGTTAAAATGCACCAACCCATTAGATGAAGGTCACACCCACAAATCCCCATGGCTTTTGATAAGATCTAGAGAAGCTTTTATCTATAATGGCCCTGGTGAGGCTGCTATGGTATAGCCTATTTATAATTAATAGCATTATTGTTTGAGAGTTTTTAGGTGGCATTCTCATAAATCACTTAGAAGCCTTTTTTCTAGATGAAAGGGTTATCAAGAATTCACTTTAAGTTTTTCTGAGGTTTTAACAGAGGGATTTATAATCACATGCTTGACTATCTTTGGCATTTTCATTTGGCATTTGGCTATTTCTTAATCTAAAAACTTTTGTTGATAAAGACAATAAATGAATAAAAGTTTTATTTTCAAACAAATAACAAAAAATTACCTCTTTTATATTTGCTATATATTCTGCATGAATATTGAATTATTCCTTCATTAATTATCACTATATTATTGTATTTTACCATAGATAACTTAACCAAGTCAATTGGTACTTTCTGTATTCTACCAAGAAATCTCACCAGCCAGAACCATGGATTCTATTCTCTACATCACTACAAGCAACAGTGATGCCAAAAAATCTACCATTTCATGATAAATGTCTTTTCTCTAACTTCTAACAACATGTTTTTAACTGTTCCTAAAGATGTTATAAACAGTCCTCTCAACACAGTATTCCAGCTTCCACTTACTATCTAGCTCCCAAACTAGTGCCATTATGTAATTTAAATTCTTATAAACACCAACAACTGATTACAAATTATTTCTATAATACATTGATGTGTAAAAAACTACCCCATTGCTTGGTAACATAAAATAAGCATTTCATTATGCTCACTGTCTTCTGCATCATGGGTTTGGGAAGGCCTTAGTTGGGTGATTGAATTTTTGTGTCTCAGTGTAGTCAAATTTCATATCTACATGTTCATTTGCAACACGATGAATGTTGCAGAAATAAAGAATTACAAGAGTAAGATTATAGCAATCCCAGATTGTCACTTCTGCCACATTTTATTGGCCTATCAAATCAATAAGACCAACCTAGATTCTAGGAAAGGAGTAGATTATACTGCCCATTGGGCAATGGCATATGTGTGCATGGACAGAAACCACTAACACAGCCAGCCTGAAGACAAGGTACTGCAGGAGAACTGCTACTATTAATATGGAAACATCTTAATTATGCATTAAATCTATCATAATTTTAATACTGTAATTTATTTGTTGTTGTTGAGAATAAACACAGCAGAACATATGCCAACCAACAATTTCTACATGTACAGTTCAGTGACACTAGTTACATTCCTCTAGTTGTGCAACCAACCATTCTCATCCTCTATTTCTGACTTGTTCCTCCCCCAGTTATATAAATTCTCTGCTCCTAAGGTTCTTATTGAATCTTTTGAGTTGCTGTCATCTATTTGATATCTATATGATAGTTCTTAAAAGAGCACAATACTCCAGGCTGGCATTCTCTACTAGTTAACCCTTTTATGACCAAATTATTTTCTGCTTTGAATTTTTTGTTGATATCATGTGTTTTCAGTAATGAAAGTTATGTTGAAAACAAGGAAACCTTTTATTTTTTTTTAAAGGTAATATGGATTTTGATTCAATTATATTGAGCACCTATGTTCCAAGTGGACTCTGGTGGCAGAATTGGTGGGGAAAGACCTGTTCCTTTAGAATCACATAGCTATATAGGTCTGTGCCTAGTAGTAGGACATATTACAAGTGGGATAGCAGCTTCCCAAGAAACCTGAGTGACTGAAATTGTTGGTGGGTGATATTATGTCTCACAGGTCATGAATGGGTTAAGTTAAAC